GGGAGGGGCTGGTTATGGGAATGTGGAAGATAAGTGGGAGGGGCTGGTTATGGGAATGTGGAAGATAAGGGGAAGGGGCTGGTTATGGGAATTGGGAGTTTAAAGGGGAGGGGCTGGTTATGGGAATGTGGAAGATGAAGGGGGAGGGGCTGGTTATGGGAATGGGGGTATAATTCTATTATTCTATAGTGGATGAAAGATAAAATATCAATATCCTTATATTTACATCTTATTGGATGTAGAGACCGTGGGGAAAATATATAACAGAAGCCAGGGCAAGGGGGGAAACAATAATCCCCCCTTCCTCTACCTATTCATTCCTAAATCCCCTGTAGCAATCAATCTTAGATATATATATATATTATATACTAGCTCAGGAACCCAGCTTTGTCTAGAAAATTGAACTTCTCTCTTAAAGTCAACCCACAAATTTTGAAATAATAAACCCAGCTAAGAGTATTCCCGTGGTTTTGCTGAATTCACAAATCAAAATTTTAGGCAAATCGGTCAAGGAGTCCATAAGTTATGATCAGACATACAAACAAACAGAGATTACTACTTTATATAGAAAGATATAAAGATTTCCCCATTATTTTCCAGAATAAAACATTACTTTTGTCCCATGTCCATTTTTTACACAGTGATATTTCAACTTGACCATTTCAATTTGAAAGAAAAAAGAATGGGCGACCTAAAAAGCTGGTAAAAGTTAGATAAATACAAAAATATATCCAATTTTTACATCAAATCTTCCCCCCTCCCCCCAACCCTACTCTGTAAAGTTCACCCCCTCCCTCTCCTCTGAAAATCATTGCTTCCCGGAGATTTCGGTTCTTTTGACCACTTAACCCAGGTGTTAATGTAAAGGGTGTCCTAAAAAATATTGACCGGAAAGGCCCAACTTAAAAGAAAAGTATTCTATCAAAAATCCTTCATGAAAGGGTGAAAAAAATAAAGGTATGATACAGGATGATAAAGGTATCTTTTTACATAATTTTTTCACACCCTGTATGAGTATTGGACTGGCGCTAAGCAAAATATTGAGAATTTCATGCATTCCTTGGAGCAGCAGAGAACTGCACTGCACTGATTGAGTTCTCACCAGATTTAGTTTTTTAAGCTCTGATTATAGGGTCATAGAGGGACTACAGGGACTAGAGCTATGGTTATAGGATCATAGAGGGACTACAGGGACTAGAGCTATGGTTATAGGGTCATAGAGGGACTACAGGGACTAGAGCTATGGTTATAGGATCATAGAGGGACTAGAGCTATGGTTATAGGGTCATAGAGGGACTAGAGCTATGGTTATAGGATCATAGAGGGACTAGAGCTATGGTTATAGGATCATAGAGGGACTAGAGCTATGGTTATAGGATCATAGAGGGACTAGAGCTATGGTTATAGGATCATAGAGGGACTAGAGCTATGGTTATAGGATCATAGAGGGACTAGAGCTATGGTTATAGGATCATAGAGGGACTAGAGCTATGGTTATAGGATCATAGAGGGACTAGAGCTATGGTTATAGGATCATAGAGGGACTAGAGCTATGGTTATAGGATCATAGAGGGACTAGAGCTATGGTTATAGGATCATAGAGGGACTAGAGCTATGGTTATAGGATCATAGAGGGACTAGAGCTATGGTTATAGGATCATAGAGGGACTAGAGCTATGGTTATAGGATCATAGAGGGACTAGAGCTATGGTTATAGGATCATAGAGGGACTAGAGCTATGGTTATAGGATCATAGAGGGACTAGAGCTATGGNAAGGGTTGAAAAGTGAGTGGACAAGGGTTGAAAAGTGAGGGGACAAGGGTTGAAAAGTGAGGGGACAAGGGTTGAAAAGTGAGGGGACAAGGGTTGAAAAGTGAGGGGACCAGAGGTGAAAATATGAAAAGGACGATGGTACATCACCCTAGCCTCTAAAAAATTAAAAAATTCCTGTCTTTTAGCAAATGATTATTTTTGTGAACATAGAACTACATTTTTTGTGAAAAAAAATCAATTTTTGCGGGAAATTTTTTGATTTGTCAAACTAAAGGAACTTATGGTGTAGCTTTAAACATTTGAATTTTACACAAATCTTACTTTTGAAATTATTATTGTCTATCCATCATTCATACATTTATAGAAAATGTGCTGAGTAACTTTTAAAGAATATAATGAAACTCAAAGAAATAACTATCAAATTGCTAGAATAAGAATAGATTTTACAGTGTACAATTAAAGCAAACTGTTATTATTTTTATAAGAATCATCTTTCAATTCTGTAAAAAGAAAATATTTACCACAGTGGGCTCGTTTTGATTTTTACGATGTTACCTAGAAATTTTACATTGTTCAAACGTCTCAATGTTATCAAATTATCCTACAAAAAATGTTTATAATACTGCACACTCGGTTCAAATATGTTACTTAGCCGGTCTCTCCCTTTAACAATTTCATACATTCAGGCAACTTTAATACAAAATATCTCAGCTATGACTATGAAAATGCTAGAATAAGAATAAAAAGCCATAAACAATTTAGACAAACTTTCCATTCTTTAAAAAAGTTCAAAAAGTGAGATCAGTTTGATTTACGAAAGAGACAACTTTGTTAAACATGTCACGTGACTGTTTTTTAAAAGATAAAATAAAAACTCTTTAAAAAATATTAAAACTTTATTGCAAACTCTGATTTTATTATCCGTAGGTCTTGCAACCCAATGTCGTAGACCTTAGATATTTCCAAGGGTGTAATGCAAGGAAAGTCAATTACGGTTGTGTACACTCTGTGTACATGTTGAAACCAGTTTTCTCTGGGCGGAATTTGTAAACAATAATAGACGCATCAGTGTTCGTTTAGTATCCGAGTATTTTGCCACCCGTGAGTTGAGAGGGGTCGAGCAAACAGTTAATGGGACTGTTGACGTAATTTAAAAGTGACCTTATATATTT